CTGTTGGCAAAAAACTCCTGACGTGAACACCATAACTGTTGCATTTATAACGACTTCAATCCAAATTTTGCCGACTATACAATTTTAAGGTCCCACTGCAAACAAAAAATATGTGCCTTCAAGCCTTATTGTTTGTATTAAAGTCATTCATTGATGGTGACAATACAGTAATATATTGTGATGCCTCAATGTTACCGAGTTGGGCTTTCTATTCAATAACATTTATCACAATGAAGTGTTACCTTTGCAGCTACAAACTTGACTCAGATCAATCAGAAATATTTCAAGCTGGTGGCAAGTACTTCAGGGAGTCTTGTTTTATCGTAATTATGAAAATTACACACTGTTTCTAATGTTCATATTTTCATTGCTCACAAGTTGTATTACTTTTACTTTTAATAGTTGAATCCAATGAATTAGGTGAAGATGAATTGCAGAAAGAGAACAATGCTGTGGATGAAGGTGGGATCCCGGATGGTGATGGCGCCAATGAAAAACTAGATGAAGATGACAATTATATTGAAGTTCAGAGAGATGAGGAAGAAAATGAAGCAGATTTGGAGAGTGAACTTCATGAAGAAAAACAAGATGAAGATGATGATGAAGAAGAAGATAGTGAGCTTGTGGACGATGAGGTTGTTAAACAAGCAGAAGAGGAAGAGGCTGCAGAAAATGAAGAAGTAGTGGTGGAAAGGGAAGAGGATAATGAACAAGATGAAATGGAGCAGAGAGAAGCTGAAAATAATGAAGAGGAGCTACAATAAATTGCTTAATTATGACATGTAGGCTTGCAAGATACTTTACTGATGTTTTAGTAGAAGGCAAAAGAATTCAATTTCACTGAAATCTCCAGTTGTTGCACTGCAACATATTCAAATAAATCTCATGTAAATGTGTGTAAAACTTTGAATGTGTGCTGTGCAACAACTTTGACTGTGAATTGGTTAGCGCAATGTCAATAATCAGGTTCAGCTTTTGGTATATATAATTGCGATACTGAACATTAAACATTCTAAGAAGTGTAGGAATCGTGTCTGCAGTGCGGCACCTAGTATTGAAATCATTATTGTCCGCTTCATTTTTTAAGCGAAATGGTATTGGGCTTCATGTCCTCCCAAAACATCAATAATTGTCATCAATGTCTATTTCGCCTTTTGGGAGAATTTTGTATCAATAATTTTTATAATAAAAAAAGAGAGAATTACATATAACTACTTTAATCACACTGTGATTACTCGTATCATATTTCCATTTTGTACCAAAATCCCCCAAAATGTGCACTAATCACCCTTCTGGACTTGCATTGATGTATATGTATAATCTTTATTCATCGTAAACACCCCTATGTTCAAGTATAAATGGTACATCCTATATTTCATACAACAATCTTGTAGTATCTAGTGTACTTTGAGAAAAATAATACTTTCTGATTGAGAGGTGGTCTTTAATTTTGCACAAAACTTGTACTTGCCTATTTCAAGTGTTTCGTGCAATATTTTTTTTTCTTTTGAAAGTTCTTTTTAATTTAACTTCTTGCTTAAAAGAATATTTAGCTTTGGGACTTATTTTATTTATTGGAAGTTATGTTGTTTTAGCATTTTTATTCTTCACTTGTTTTTTTTTTTTTAATGGAATATTCTGACTGGTTAATAAGGTTCTGATTATAGTATGCTTGCTAACACAGCTGAGATGAAATGTGGCATTTAACAGGCTGTTTGGGTTTTTGACTGCCAAAGTAAAATAAACCTGCATAAAATTGATCAAGACTGGGATGCAATTAGAAATTATTTGGTCCGAAATTATGGCCTTTAAATGGTTAGTACTGTATTTGGTTTTCTGTTACAATATTTGCACAGAAATTGTTATTTATGAAAGCATTATGACATGTAGATCACGTCTTTATCTTTCAACACAAGATTTTATATGAGCATGTTTTGGATACATGGGGCTTCAGTTATTACATAATAACCCCAAGAAGATTGATACATAATTATGTGGTACGCTTTTTCTCATCTTTTTCTAAATGCCTTGTCTTGAATAGTTTCTGTAAATATGAATATTCATGGTGAGAATACTAATTTATTCAAAGGTTGTACGTATAGCATGTACGGTACATCTTTAAAAGTGTTCCAGTAGCAAGCTGGATGTATGTCCCAGCAAGGACAACTTTGCAGGAAAACTATTTTTTTGTCAAATTATAGATTTCTGAATTGCACATGTATCTTAAATAGTTGCATTCAAAGCAATAAACTTAAAATGTAATCTCAATTTTGTTGATTGCTCAAAATAAAAAAATTATACAGGTGTGGGAAATTGTACAAGTATTGTATGTTGACTACATATTGTTTTGTTATGAATTGGTGTTTAAGATTTGATCATGACTTGCATTAAGACTGAATAGTGCTGAGTTATGGTTAATTTACATAAATCAAAAAGGTATATTGATTGTAAATCAATTACTGAATGAGCATCACATGACAGTGTAGCCATGCAAGAAGTCTCCCTCCTCCCCAAATCTAAAACCTGCAAGTTGTGGAAAGTTTATTAATCTGCATTTAAATGAATGGCTTCAACAATGCATGATAAAGAACCCTAGTTAGCAGCCTGGTTGATGTTCACGAGAACAAACTCCAAACAGGCCATTAACTATCATCAGTTTTAGAGTTACTGAATTTGACGAGGTTTAGGTTTTTTTGTAGACGCATTTCGGGTTGTGCGTTGTCAGTGTACATGTTATGTAACTTCTTTTATATACAAGGCCAATGACCTGTAGAAGTCGCACCTGATTCGTACATGTTGCATTAATTTGTCTGTTGGGAAATCATCTGTTCAAATCCAGGGTACTTATGTTCAAAAAAAAAAATTCCCATTTTTAAAAAGTGATTGGATCATACGAGAACAACCTCATTCTGGAAAACAAAGAAAAATACTGATAAATGAAAACTGTTAGAATAGAGACGTGCCAAAAAGTAGTGTTACTGACCTTCGAATACATGTGACGTAAATTGTTCTTAACACTACAGACGCTTAGTTTGTAATAGAAATTTTATTTGAAGCCTTTGACACGTGCAGTGTAATAAATGCAACAGCTATGATATATATTCAAACATCCGTTTCGGTTTTGATAAAGTTTTCAGCGTCAGCATCCTCCCTTTAGAATGAATATTTTGGGTTATAGGTTGTAATCTATAGTGCACCCAAAGCACAATGCAGAAAAAGTAGACAAGATTGCCGCGAGTTTCACATTATCTCCAAATTTAATGGTCGCAAACATTTGATTTCACGAAACCGAGACTGTCCTTATTTTCCAATACAAAAGTCTTTGAATATAACATCTAATATTTCCTCTGCACCAACTCTCCCAGTGATCTTTCCTAGTTCTCGAAGCGCTATTCTCAATTGTTCTGCCATAATAACTAGATCCTGATATTCAGCAAACCTTGCAAGTGCTGTGTGGCATGCAGTGAGATGGCTGCGATGTCTGGTCTGTGTCAGGCTTGGACTACCTATAGAAGGATTTCCGCAACTGCAAAGAAATGCAATTATATGCATATTAGCATACACAAGTACTAACTATGAGTTGACATGTATCTTCCAGGGTTTTTTCTAGAAAAAAACTAGAGGAAGCACTGCAATTCAGCGGCGCCACCAAGTGGGGGAGATGGGGTTCTCCCGACCAGGGTGTGGAATTTTTTCATAATTCTAAGTTAAAATGGAGCATTCTATGGCTTCCTTGGGGCCAAAATTACTATCAGTCACATGTGATCCCTGGTCATTCAGAATTTTATGGTTGCCAGAGGGGGTGCATGACCATTGCATAAGGGCGCTATGCCCCTGTTCCCTTGTTTACAAAAATCCCTGTCTCCACTGCTTTGAAAAAGTCAAAAAATACAAAAA